CCATATCTGCTTTTTTTAATTAAGAAAAAACGTGAAGCAAAAAAAAAACTTCATTTTGAATGGTGAGTTGAACTCGCTCGGCTTCGCATATCAAGATCTCTGGGACTGTTAGTGCTGGGTTCTCCTGCTGTCGATATTACTGGGATGCTTCTCGACGTCGAGCGCAGCCGCCGTTGCTTCCATATAATCATTGAAAAGTAAGAGAGTCGCAGTGGGAGGAATAGTTGTACAACAAGAAATTATCACAACAATGGAGCTTTTCACGTTCAGAGATGAGAGGACTGTCTGAGGTATTGGCTGCACTGAAGAAGATTATGACGGGCTATCACATTGGTGGTATCGCTCTTTCGCTTGCATTTCTTGCGCTGAAAAGCACTACTGGCTTATGCTCTCTTGTTTTCACTGAATGCGGCCTCGATTACGTAAGTCTTCCTTCTCTGTTTGTATTTATGCAGAGGTACACACCTAAACGTAAAATAGCCGTCGTACTGATGAGCTAGAGCTGTAGTGCTGAAAAAGAATGTACGCGACTTAATGGACACAAACGTCCCTCTTCAGATGTTTTTCCCTCTTCCTTTTGCTATTTTAAAGTATTCAGATGCTTCCACTCTTTGGACTTATTTGATGCTGACTCTCCGTAGACTTTCATTACCTCTATATCCTTAATCAACCCCAAATATCGTCCCTTGCAAATCCTTAGTAATCCCTAAATATCGTCCCTTGTCCACAATTACAAGCAGAAGTTTGTCCTTTAAATTATTTGTCCAAAAATTAGCATTTTTGCTCCGAAATGGACATCAGCCAGAATGTGCCAGCACTCATTATGTTTTTGTATCATTTCATCTTTTATCATTCAAAATATATTATCTGACGCAAGCACTCCTCCGGGCGACATTCGAGCAGCTGCGCGCATACATCGAACAGACAGCTTTGGATCGAATGGACGGATAAAAATGTGAGCGACAAATGGGAGCTTTAGTTATATGGGATCCCACACCGGGAGTCCGGGTGGCCTTGATATTTTTGGGACCCACAGAAATAAAATTATGTTTTTCATAAGCTTTTTCTTGCTGAACGCTTCTGTTGGATTTATAATCGTTTTGGATGAGTGAACACAGGTCTGGATCACCAACGGGCGAGTATAGTGGAGAACCGGACTGCGCGATCTAGAGACCACACATACGTAGATAGCTCGATAGTGATTGACTGAACTTTTTATTTCGTTTTTTCCAAATAAAAATGCTCG